ATTGTTACAGCACCATGCTAATATCTGGTTTCTGCTGCTATGAACAAGCTTGCTTGCTCTTGCTGGAAATATCTGGGGCAGTATGTTCTGGAAACTAAAGGGACATGACGTAGGTCATTGTGAGAGATAACAGCCCCGGCACAATAAAATGCTTTCACCACAGGAGAGCCACATCCTGGATTTTATGACCCAGCATGTGAATGTCAGGAAGATGGATAATGCAAAAAGTGCACACACAAAAAAACCTCTGTTAAAATTACCTCAGGGGCCTGGTACAGTAGCTTAGCAGCTAAAGTCCTTGCCGGGTTCCCATATGGGTACCGGTTCTAATACTGGCAGCCCTGCTTCCCATCCAGCTCCCTGTTTGTGGCCTGGGTAAGCAGTCGAGGACGGCCCAAAGTCTTGGGATCCTGCACCCATGTGGGAGACCTGGAGGGGCTCCTGGCTCCTAGCTTCGGATCGGTGCAGCCCACCTATCATCACCTGGAACCTGAGAGGCAGCGGCGGGTGTTGCATGGTTCCATAACCATGCCCCTTGCAGGCCCCCTTAAAGGCCCATGATAAGAAGGGGCTTGTCTCTTGGTCTGTGCTTCAGTCGCTCTGGCACTCGCTCTTGGCCTCCCCACATCTGCTTGCCCTCTGGCTTCCCACAGTGACTCTGAGGACAGGTGTCCCCTGAGCAGGGCCCCTGTGTGTCTGTATTCCTCACCGCCTGTTCCGGCTTGGGCGGGACAGTGAAGATGTTAATGCTAAGATGCTTTTATTTCTAATGTGTGTACTGTGGGGAGTTCCAGGAGAGGTGAGGCCTAGCAGTTGTGGAATGTGGGCAGAGAAGCCAGGGAAAGGTGAATGTCTGCAGCTTTGTAAGTGGTCCAGGTTGTTCGCTGTATGTTTCTTTGGATAATTTATTCTGCTGGGAGAGCTAGCACATAGGTCCTCAAGGCACAGGTCCTATCAAGGCATCGGCCATCCCGTGTTTAGCTTTGACCTATGTCAATTATGGGGCCTTGGATTCAACCCCACTTGGGAAAGGGCAAAATATGCATGCAGGGCTCTTTGGTCAAGTCAAATCTTTTTTTTTTTTAATATTATTTTTTATTGATTACATTGCATTATGTGACACTGTCTCATAGGCTCTGGGATTCCCCCACCCCTCTCCTTACCCTCCCCCCATGGTGGATTCCTCCACCTTGTTGCAGTTTTACAGTTCAAATTCAGTCAAGATTCTTTCATTGCAAGCATAGAGTCCAGCATCTTATTGTCCAGATAAAGTCAATGGTTTCTTGGGGAGACCATCTCTGATCTGAAAGCAGAGCTGGCAGAATATCATCCTGATCAATTAAAAGCACAACATAATATCAACATCAATTTACAACATTATGGAATTAATTGACATGGTATTGAATAACAAATATGTTAAAAATGCAAGGTTTTTTTTTAAAGATTTATTTATTTATTTTTATTACAAAGTCAGATATACAGAGAGGAGGAGAGACAGAAAGATCTTCTGTCCGATGATTCACTCCCCAAGTGAGCCACAACGGCCGGTGCTGTGCCGATCCGAAGCTGGGAACCCAGAACCTCTTCTAGGTCTCCCACATGGATGCACGGTCCCAAATCTCTGGGCCGTCCTCGACTTCTTTCCCAGGCCACAAGCAGGGAGCTGGATGGGAAGTGGGGCTGCTGGGATAGAACCAGCTCTCATATGGGATTCTGGTGCGTTCAAGGCGAGGACTTTAGCCACTAGGCCACACTACTGGCACCCCCCCCAAATGCAAGTTCTTAACCACATCCTGTGACGACTTCATTAACATTTCAATTTTAATTTATACACAGAACTGGCTGCTATACACCTTAAAATGGCTATAGGGTACTATTCAGCTGTCTCGTGTCTATTTTCATTTTAGCATTCAGCAGTTTATACTGTTGAAGCTTAATTTTGCTGAACTTGGCAGATTTTGGGATAGTCTAAACTGGCTTATAACTCTAACAGGCATATGTCAACAGTTGAAGTACAGAACAGTTTTAGAAGGGGTATGCAGAGAAATCCTCAATACACCAGTGACAAGTAACTAATCTTTGTGTCCTTCCTAGTAAGGCATGTGAGTCCATGCTGACCGTTTCCTGTCTGGTTCCAAGCTTTCCTTGTTGTTCTCTGTCTATCTATTCCAATTTGAGTGTGTGCATGTGTGTTTTGGGGTGAGGGGCTCCGGAGCAACCATGATGGTCATTGCAAGATAGGGTGGGGATCCAAAGTTGGAACTAAGTAAGGAGCAGAGAAAGCTCCTCTCCCTAGTCCTGATGGTCAAGTCAAATCTTGACTCGGTCTCAATGTTACGGATGTCCATCTTGAGGTTCCCCAGAATGCCAGGGAAATGGGGCATATTACTGTGCCCAGTGGTCTTGAGTGTTTTGCTCCTTGAGTGAATATAGATAGCCTTATTTCATTTACTCATAAACCCCATCTTGATTGAAAGATCCATTAAACATGTAACAACATAACCACCAAGGTCAAACAAGACTGGTATCGTTTCCATCCATCCCTGCACTTGGTGGGATGTCGGCCTCACCTGGGGACTTAGAGCATTTGTAGACAGGTATGACCCGAAAGTCCTGTTCACTATTCAGCAGGTCAAGCAGGGACTACCTAAAACCCAACAGGACCCTCAGACCCATCCTGGTGCCTCCCCCGATGCACTCCAGAGCCCCTGAGCCCTTTAACAGAGGGAACAGAGAACCTCTCTGACCAGGATCGGCAAAGGCAGTAAACCCTAAACCTCCATATTACCTGGGACTAGCGACAACTGCGGCTTTTGGCATCAACAATCAAGACCCTGGGTATAACACACGCTGGGGCTCCAGCCTACCCTGACCCTGGGGGATCTGCAAGGACAAGGAATGTGCATGAAGTCATCTACTTACCCCTTGCAACGATCCCCTCATGAATTAAAGTGCAATGTAACCCTTTTTAGTCCCATGAGTCATTAGCTCAAAGCCCTCACCGTCCCTGCGTGTTTGTGACACCTGAAGGAACTTGGTTTGCTCATACGTCAGACCGCACTACCTGTTCTGGGGCAACGTATTTTGATGGTAAAAATAATCCCAAGTTGTATGTGTGCTGGGTGGGTGGGCCCAGGTTAAAGCCAGGGACGGGGGGATACCAGGGTGGGGACCAGGACAAGTGGTTGACCAAATGGGGCTGCAAAAGAATGGAGGGGGCCCGGCGCGGTGGCGCAAGTGGTTAAGGTCCTCACCTTGCACGCCCAGGATCCCATATGGGCGCCAGTTCTAATCCCGGCAGCCCTGCTTCCCTTCCAGCTCCCTGCCTGTGGCCCGGGAAAGCAGTCGAGGACGGCCCAAAGCTTTGGGACCCTGCACCCACGTGGGAGACCCGGAAGAGGCTCCTGGCTTCGGACCGGCATAGCATCGGCCATTGTGGTTCACTTGGGGAGTGAATCATCGGACGGAAGATCTTCCTCTCTGTCTCTCCTCTCTGTATATCCGCCTTTCCAATAAAAAATAATAAAAATAAATCTTAAAAAAAAAAAAAAGACTGGAGGGGCCCAGGCTGGCAGGGGCTGGAGGAAGGGAGGCAGAGCAGATGTTCTAGGAAGAGGCTTTCTGTTTCTGTTTTATTTTTCTTAGAGATTTATTTTTTTTTTATTGCAAAGTCAGATATACAGAGAGGAGGACAGAGAGGAAGACCTTCTGTCCAATGATTCACTCCCCAAGTGACCGCAACAGCTGGTGCTGCACCAATCCAAAGCCAGGAGCCAGGAACTTCTTCCAGGTCTCCCACACGGGTGCAGGGTCCCCTCCTCAACTGCTTTCCCAGGCCACAAGCAGGGAGCTGGATGGGAGGTGGAGCAGCCGGGATTAGAACCGGCACCCATATGGGATTCTGGCGCATTCAAGGCGAGGACTTTAGCCACTAGGTCACTGCGCCAGGCCCAGGAAGAGGTTTTCAACAAGGCTTAGGGAGGCACAGCACCTGGGAGGTGGGGAGCTAGAAGATGAGGGAGCCATGCTGGCTGCTCTTGTTACAAGGGACATCATCAAGGCTGCTTCCTGGGTGGGCTGGCCTGAGCAGGAGGAGGTGGTCCCTGCAGTCCATGGGACGGTGAAAGCTGAATGGCCAGAAGCCGATCTAGAGGGATCCCCTGCCCTGCTCCTCTCTTTTCCAGCAGCAGGACTGTGAACCATCTCAGGCTCGCCTGGCTACCCTCCCTGGTCCACCCCAAGAGTTCCTGAGGTGGTACGCTACGGGGTCAGGGTGAGAGCTGCTAGTGCCTCCCTTCTCTCAGTGCACAAACATTTACCAAAACCCTCCCCAGAGGACACAGCCCCAGAGGACATACAACCTGTCTGCAGTGAGCCCCGGGCACACCCAGCCCCTCCCACCGCCACCGCTGGGGAAGGAAAAGGGGCTCCCTGAGAGGTGACCTGGGCAGAGATCTGTAGAAGCAGAAGATGGGGTACGCCAAGCAGCCACTAGGTGAAGAAGCTTGCCTGTCCAATTTGTGAAATGCTAAGACCAGGAGGGACCCAGGGGAGGCTAGGCTGGCACCAGTGCACCTCAGAGGCAACTGGAGACGGGGTGGGGGTGGGGGTGGGGCCCCGGCTTGTTCTGGCTGCCAGCCAGGCTGGAAGGTTCCAGGACAGCTCACGGTGACTGTGCAGTTCCCTGCTAGACTCTGAGCTGAGGGGCCTGCAGCTGCGGAGCGGGCTCTCTACAGCCAGGGAACTTGACCCATGGAGAGTGGGGGGTCACGGTTCCCACGTATTCTGAGGTGGCATAAGCCTGGTAGCTGTGCCCTTGGCACAACCTGGGCATCACCCTTTCTTCTTTTTCCAGGAACCTGTCCTGGGGTAGCGTGTGTGTGTGTGTGTGTGTGTGTGTGTGTGTGTGTGTGTGTGTGTAACCACCAGAGCTGAGTTGGCTTCAGAACCCAATGAGGAAGCCACTGACCTTCACCAGCTGAGTGTGGCTAGGGGGTCCCTTTCCTGCCCCCCCCCAGCCCTCCACCTTAGCGCTCTGGGGGAGGAGGGTGGCACAGCCTGGGACGGACCCGGTTGCTAGGCAGCCAGCCCCACCCAGGAGCCCCAAAGGCTGCCTCCACCGTTTCCGGGAACAGCATGTTTTCGTCGAGAAATATCTCCTGACTCACTGGCTGCCCTGCCCCCATCCTCCTCAGGGCGGAGGTATTTTTAGCCTTATTTGTACAAGAGAGCAGAAAGCAGGCTCAGCGTATACCAGCCTGGGCGAGAGGATTTAGAGTGTGGAATTTAGAGCCCCTGGGAGTGTTGAGGGGGAGACGAGGGGACGACTTCCAAACAAGGGACTCTTCCAAACTCTTCCAACTTGTCCACGGAAACCAAGTGGGTGGTCCCGGCCGCTCCAGAGGGAGCAAAGCGCCTCATTTTTACTGGTGCTCACAGTCCGGGGGAGAACACAATGGAAGACATTTTCCCCCTGGTATTTGTGAATGAGGGAGGAAGATTGTGATACCAGAACAGCAAGGAGAAACGTGGCGGGGGCGTGGTGGGGCCAGCCACACAATAGCATCTCTTGTCAGATAAGTATGGGGGGGTGACTCCTCAGCCTGCTACCGTGCAGCAGCGGGGGGCACTTAATTTCATACGTCTTTCTAGAACCTTCTAATAGGCAACTCGTCTCACCACGCTGTTCTTTCAGGCTGTTATCCCACTGCAGTTATCCCTGGAATAACTGCCAGCGTAAGACCGACTGAGGTGGCAGAAGCCGGAAAAGGGTAGGGCTGGTGTCCGGCTGGTCTCCCTGGCTGAGCAGCCATGCTAGGGCCAGCCTGACCTTCCGAGCTGAGAGTGAGTCACTTGTTTTCTGAGAACCACAGGGAAGGGTGCGGCTGAGCCCAGCCTTGTATGCTTATGGCATCTCCAGGGATAAACAACTTCCCTGATTGCCATAAGCACCTGTTGTCAGGGCTGGGTGGGTGGCAAGCCCGGGAGGTGCCATTCTCGGTGCTGTTTGCTGGACAACTGTCTCACTTCGACCTGGGGGCGGGGAGGGGAGGTCTGAGCGCTGTGGCTTCTCCTCACCAGACCCCCGAATCCAGGGCCTCCGTGGCCAGCGCCCCCAAACCACGGGGGCTCGCCCTGCTTGCAAACTGCCCAGATACACGCAACGCCTGGTTTGTTCATCGCCTTTCTCCTCACCCTTCACTCAAAGCCCTACCCGCAATTCCATCTAGTGTTTTCCCACACAAAACCCCTGGCTCTGACCCGAGTGAGTTCGCCCCCCACCTCTGGTCAGTTAGTAAGGGGTGTGAACACATTTCACCAAGTCGCCCACCATGGCCGGGCCTGCCTCAGCGCTGACTTCAACCCTCCTGGACCCTCACGTGAGGGTCACCCTTAGCGTGAGGGTAGTGCCCCCTTTGTGGGCTCAAAGTCCCCAAACCCTCCGCACCCTGCCACGTTTTCTTAAATGACGAAGAAGCCCCCCAAACCCAGGGGCGCAACACGGGGCTGCAACCAGGAGCCGCCCCACCCCCACGCCGTGCCGCAGCGCTGACGTCAGCGGCCCCACGCGGCACAGCCGCGCCCAGAGTCACGCGCTGCCGCCCGCGGCGGTGACGCACCCTCTGCAGAGATCCCTCCGCCGCCTGGAATTTTCCAGGCGCTGCTCGGCCGGCCCTTCTTTCGGGTCTAGGGACGGGCGGACGACCTGAGGCGACCCTGGGGCGGTTCGGTGGAGTTCTCGGGCCGGGGGCACATGCCTGCCTGCCAAACCGGCTCGGGGTGACGCCATGCCCTACCGCTGAGGAAGCCCCTGTCCATGTGACCTTGCCATCTGCCCTCGCTCCCGCGGAGCCCTGCTGAGGGTGGGAGCGGGTTAAAATGGAGGAATCTGAGGGTGGCCACCTCAGGGATCCCGTGATCCATGCCCTGTGTCATGTCCTTGGGCGGGGACAGGGAGGGACTCCTTTTCCGGTGGCAGTGGAGGAATCCTTTGTGTTGAGCAATGCCCCTGTGACGCGACTCGGGGCTATAAAAGCAAAAGTTGTGGCCCCGCCAGTCCAGCAGGAGTCAGAGACAGGGAGGCCTGCTGTCGCGTCTGGTTGTAGGGAGGAGGTGGCCAGTTGAAGACCTCAGGAGACAGAAGGGGGGATGACAGAGTCAGAGGAGTCTGGGGGTGCGGTGGGCGAAGGGATGAAGAAGAGGAAGGCTAACAGGGAGACAGGCCTTGAGGACAGCTACGATGCCAGGGCCTGCCATAACCTGCAGGCAGGGCCATCGATGGCCCCCGCTGGCGGGGTGGGGGACCGCTGCCAGGGCCCTGCTCCTCCATGGGCTGAGTGACCCCGCGTGGGGAGGAAAGGAAGGCGTGGAGGAGGACAGTCAGTAACCCTGCCTGGAATAATCTGGAAGCGGGCAGTGGGTGCAGGGCTGTTAGGTGGGCTGGGAGGGCAGACTTGGAACTTGGCGATGCTGGCAGCCCTGTTTTTTTCCAGAGGGTTGTGAGCGCACCTGGGGAGGAGGCCTGGTCTTGTGGAAGCTGAACTTAGCTGCGCCAGGCTGACAGCTCTGCCTGAGGTGGTATGGAGTCTTGGCTCGGCCTGGGGAGCGGGGCCAGGCCCGGCCCGTGGTTGGAGGTGAGGGGTGGCGTACACAGAGCGCCGAGGCGAAGCTGCCTGCAAAGGAGGGCCGCGTAGGCAGGCTCCTGGTGTCTGGGGCCAATCTTGACGGGAGCTTTATTTTCCAGGTGGCTGCAGCCCAACCCCTTGGACTTTGTTCTAGGTCCCATGCCAGCTTCTTCTGCAAGCTCACCCTACCCCTCCTCCTCTTGCCTTTAACTCTGTGTTTGCTTTATACCTTGCCTCTGGTAACCTGGTAAGCCTGGGGCCGCAGCCCGCTGCTGGCGGAGTCGGTATTGATGGTAACGGTGAAGAGGCTGCCGGGTGGGGCCGGGCTGGGCTTGCTGGTGGAGAGGGTGATGGTTGACCCTGTGCTCTGGGGCGGGCCCACAGCCATGGTTCCAGCTGAAGTCCCCGACGTGCCTCGTAGCTGGTGGCTTGGTGCTGTAGTGTCGGTCACAACAAGCAGATGGCATCCGGAGCGATGGAGCCCCTGGCCAGTGTGAGTCGTGGCAGTGCAGGACGCGGCCACCGTGGAGGGACGGACCCGCCAAGCGGACGCCTGCAGATGGAAGGCTTAGCAGCAGCAGAAGCAAACTCTGTGGTGCACGAGTGTGTCTCGGCTTGCGCAGGAGGCCATGCCTGCCGAGGGTGTCAGATCAGCTGCTGAGGGGGTGTGCATCCTGCCTGAGTGAGGGACCCTCGGCTTCGAGTGCACGGTTGTTCTGGAAGTACCACCCTCTAGGCCTGGGAATGCCAGTGGGCACCCCTCCTTTCTTTAGGGAGGAAGGGTTCCAGATGCTGCCGCTTCTAAAGCTGAGTCATCAGTTGTGCTAGTTCTGTCCTGCAGCCTTACTTCAAGAAGATTCTTGAGCCATAGGACTTTTCAACTTTGGTTCGTGTCACCATGCAGTGATACTTGGTAGATGGAGTCCAGTGGCCTCACCTACCCATCTGCTCTGCACCTGCCACCTGTCTGCCTACCTGTGTCTTAGCCGGAGGAATTTTTAGTGTGGTCCTATGACCTGTGTTGGGGAAAGCTGCTCAATTTTAAATGCCTTAGGCACAGGGCATGTATTAGATGAAGCCAGTTGTTTGGTGGGGGTGGGTGCAGGTCGGTTAGGCCATGTTCTGTGTGGGAGATGGCAAGCCTGCTTTGGGCGTCTCATAGTGTTATGACTAAGAATGGGGACAGTTGCTGATCTTTGTTTATTTTTTCAAAAAATAGTTTATTGATTTGAAATGCAGAGCCACAAAAGTGGGGAAAGCGAATCTTCCATCTGCTGACTGACTCCCCAAATGGCTGCAGCAAGCAGGCTGAAGCCAGGAGCCAGGCACTCCCTCCTGGCCCCCTGCGGTTGGGCCATCCTCTGCTGCCTTCCCAGCGCCTGAGTTAGTGCGGAGCTGGCCCACAGGCTGAGCAGCAAGGACTCCAGCAGCGCTCTGACAGGATGCTGGAGTGCCAGCCCTGACCTTTGGCTCTTGACCTTCTTGTTTTGTATTAATTATGTTTCCATCAAATTTAGGGGACTCTTGGTGTTCCAAGAGGGGGACCTTGAGGTGGGGTTGTGTGGGAGGGAGGGGGCACAGTTTGGTACTGAGGGGCAGGTAGCAAAGGAGAGGAGGGGTGGGTTAGGGATGCAGCCCAGGGTGGGGTGGTAGGGAGCCTGGGTCGGAGGGAATTCCCTGGAAAATAAACAGTAGGCAGAGTTCTTGGAAATCTAGTAGCTCTTTTGGGCCAGGAAGATCAAAATGAATAATAGTAAATTATTAATGCTGTGTTGTTAAATTGCTGCTTGAAAACTTTTTAAAATACTTGTGATTTTAGGTGCAAGGAAAGAAGCAAAATTGTTTTGCTTTGCTAGGGAAAGCTCTGGAAAGGTATGCCTGGAAATGTGAATGTTCGTGGCCTGCCTGGTGGTTGTCCAGCATGGTGGGCAGGCCGCCTCCCTCCCTGCCCTACAAGCTTTGCAGGAAGAGTGATTTTCGGGGGTAGTAATTCTTGGAAAATAGTTCTAAATGCCTAAATCGTGGGTCTTTCAAGTATTTTAGAGTGCATGAAAGGTAAAATGAGGTGGACTCCTCTAGGTTTGTAATTAATGTTTAGTATTTGAGATATTTTGTGATTGAAAAATTCTGACCAAGGTATTATGTATTAATGTCTGACAATATTTTATATAGGCCATTTGTTATAAACACACTTGTCCTTTTTCTGTGTTTTATCAGTTGTAACTCATTTTTTTCCTATTAAAGGGCTTATATTGAGCCATCAACATACCACGTAGATAACTTGGAGATAAAAATGGTGTTGAAATATTTGTAGAATTGAAAATTTGGGACTTTACACATTAACAGCAAGAGTTGTACCTACAGTTGTCTGTGCAGCCAGTCATGGTAACCAGCAGAGCCCGAGAGGCTGGGGTGGCTGCTGGCAGTGGCTGTCCTGTCGGCTAGCAGGTGGATTGTGTGCACCTTGGGATGGCGTGAGAAGCCATTGTACGATTACTATGAATGTGCTTACCGTGTGGGCCAGGAGGGAAGCTGCCAACCGAAGGCATTGTGGGAAATGATCGTGAAACAGGGGGCACTGGCCAGGTGTGTGCAAGCTTACCGAGTGGTACCTGCTTGTTTTTCGACTATCAAGTTGATCAAGTAATGGTAGTGCCTTTTTTTTTAAAATCATGTCGCCCTGTAAATCTCGCTTAAACATGTTAAAGTCACTTGTATCTTTGTCCTTAGGAATTTCCTGTGTGGGTACCTTTTGTAAAATGCTTAAAAATATGTTGATGTGTAAGAAAAATACATTGGTGTGATAATTGAGTGCCTAAGCAATGGCATGGACGTGGCGGGAACAGTTAATGTCATTGGAGTTTGAAGTATTAGTCATGCATGTATGGGGAAATGTCATTGAAATGTGAAGTACGTTAGTCATGATGTTGTGACACTGAGATTGTACTAGTGGGTGGGTGAGAGTACATCTCGTTGCTGTGTACTCTAAGAAACCAGTCCTGTTGCGTCATGCACAGACTTGCTAACCTTTCCTTTCCTCTTACAGCACAAATAAAGCTCTGAGCTCTCAACTCATTAAAATTGTTGTATCGCTATGTCACGTTTTCCACCACTGGCCGGTGGCCTTGGCTTTGCTCTCTCGATGTTGTAGATTCAGCTCTGGGTAATGGAGACCACCCAGCAGAGTGACACGTTGGTAATGCAGAGTGGTTTGCAGCCTGCCGGGCCGGGCTCCGCTCGCTGGTGGGGGTCACTGGTAATCACTGTGCAAAATGTGGGTTTGAGCCACAGCCAGTGGCGGTGGGTGTCTGGGAAGAGGAGGAACTTAACCACGATTCAGAATGTTATGTAGGTAAACTTCCAAATGGCTCCCCTTTTGTTTGTTTGGCAGAAACTAAGAATAGAATGGGCATGTGCTAGATTGTCGACCCTTGTGTCTTTGGGGGGCTGGAATGTATCTGGTTTGGTGTAAGTCCAGCATTCTCATCTTGCCGTAGAGTCTGGATCTGGTGTAACCTTACTCCTGTGCGTGACTCAATCATTCCGGCTTCTTTGTGTAGTTCGTTAGCAAGGGCTGTTCCACTAGTGTGGGTAGAACTTGGCATGCAGCCTGTGCGTCCTACCTGCAAGTTGACCCCGCCACGTGCTAGGTCGGGAAGCCGTGGCAGCAGTGCATGCTGGGAACTGACTGGGCTTTCTTCAGCTGCCCCGAGTCACCTTTCTCCAGCTGAAGAGCTTTAACTCACAGGAGACAAACCTGGGCTCAAAATGGATACAGCTGCCAGCCTCCTGCTAAAGAGGAAGGTACTGGAATCCAGGGGGCAGAAGGAGAGCCTTGCACTGCTGCTGCCCATGGACAAGCCTCAAGCAGGGCCATCAGTGTGGGCTGCGAGACAGCCTCACTCCAGAAGAGCCGCGGGTCTGGCTGCTGGGCCAGCCTCGGCCTTGTCCTTTGGTGGCCTTCGCTTTACACTGCCCAGAAACTGGCAAGGGACTTGGGGAAGAGACGGGTGCTGTTCTACCCGCCTGGCGAGTCCTGCCGGAAGCAGGTGCTGCTGTGGGCAGGCTCGAGGGCCTCTGTCCACCCTGCCCCTCCCTCCTACCCTTGGCCCTTCTCTCAGCCTTCACCCACCACCCGCCTTGCTTCTCTTGTTTCTTGTGTGATGAATACAGTGATGCTGCTGACCCCGAGGGAAGCTGCCCTTCTTCTCCACCTGCGTGGTGCTGGTGCCCAGTGGCTGCGGGCCAATGCCAGGAATTCCCAAGGGACACAGCCACTTGGCATCGGAAGTGAGGCAGCCTAGGAGCAGATGGGCGATGCCCTGCTGCCCTACGCCTGTGTGCGGGGACCTGGCACTCTTTGTCCATGATGGTCCTCAGATTGAGAACAATGGGCTGCAGGTGTCGATGGCAGCGCTCGGGGTTGTCTCATCTGCTTGTGCCCTCGTGCGTGCGTCTGGACTCAACCCCGCCTGTAACTCCCAGAGCCGGAGTTGGTGTAGGGGAACGCGGTGATCTTGTGCGAGAGAAGTAACAGGGCTGAAGCTGAGTGAAGGTCTAAAAAAGATCATAGGTTGGTTTCAGCTGTGGGTGAGACGGCTCTGTGGGGCCAGGCGTGAGACTCTGAAAACTGCAGAAATGGGTGTGTCGTTGAAAGGGGACCTCAGCTGCCCTGGTTTGTCTTAGCAACAGTGGCCACTAAGGGGCTCTGTAGACACTTGATGGCAGAGCTAACCTCTGTGTGTTGACCTCTGGCCACACATGCTGCCCTCTGTGGTGTGTGCTAGAGCTAAGTAGAGAAGACAGCAGACAGGCCCACAGGTGTCCGCTGTGTGTTTACGTGTTCACATTTATTATTACCTAGTCTACAAGCGGTAAAGGGAGAATAACAAAATAAGACGTGAAGGTCAAGTTTCCAGAAGGGTGACCTTGACCCTCCCTGAGGGGGCGCCCTGTCCATCACCTCCCTGCAACTGCTGGGATATTTTGCCACCTGTAGGAGCCTCTCTCTCAGTAGCATACCGCCTTCCCTCCTTTCTTTTCAGTAAATCAGCACTGAGTTATCACAGGGGAAAAGGGTTTATTGGAAAGCTTGCGAACTTGGGGAAAGGATCCTGAGTAATCTCCCTTTCACAGTTGTTATTAACACAGAGTGATTTGCCTATGTGTACAGGGTCCCTGCATTTTGTACAAAAATGGGGTTATACTTACTCTTGCCATTTGAAGCTGCGTGGCAGGGCCATATCGAGGTGAATAGTCTTGCCTGGAAGGACACACAGTAGGGGTTTCCACATTAGTATCCTCAGCAACAGAGCAAACCTTGGAGAGGGACTCAGCGTGTTGAAAAGCTTCGTGCCGGCCCAGATGCAGCCTGCTCTGCCTGTGGAAGTGCGTGTGGTCAAGTCGAGCATTTGTGTGTTTCTGCTCCAATTGCTCCTCTCTGGGTTTGTAAAGGCTACTTGCCTTATGACGGGTATCAACACGTCTGTTTCTGTGCAGATCATTCTCTGGTTTGTAGATGCCTGTGTAACTTTGTTTATTGTGATTCATTCCTGTGGAGACTGTGTACCCTCACCATGGATTTTGTGCTTCACTTTATGGCTACGTAAGCGTATGTAACCGACTCAAGCGTATGTAACCACCGAGCTGCGTTCTCTTGTGGCCACGCATGGCTTCTGTATGGATGTTGGCTGCAGCTGCAGTGTCCTGCACAGTCTGTGTGTGGGGGCGGTCCCCAGAGCTCTGTCTTGTGGCACCCTCCCTGTTTATCAGATTGTCAAGAGAAGGATGCGAGGCAGGCCTGTATGGTCTCCTGAATGGGACTCTCATTCCCCTGTGTTCACTACTCTGGACCTGTGACAGTGGAGATGGGTTTGAATCCTGATTCTACCACTTGGCAACTTGGCATCCTGGCACAAGTGACCTCCCATGGGTGACATGGGATGAGTGAATGCTTGGCCCATGGCTGCTGGGATCTCCCCTCTGCCTCCACTGGCCCCTGCTTTAGCATCCGGCATCCGGCCCAGCCCTCTCCTCCCTCTCCCTGTCCCCAGCCTCCCTCCCTCCCTCCTTGCCCTGGGCCTTTCATGCCCTGGGAATCAGCATGTATTTGGATCTGTTTTGCTTTCATTTCACTTGGTTTCAGCTACATT